CCCCTCCTCCCAAGTGCTAGGATTAGAGGTGTGCAAATACACATCTGCCTTTTCCTAGCATGACGGAAGCCTGGAAAGCTCAAAGCTCTGGCCATGAAGTGTTGGAGCAGGACACAAACTGCCATCAACAGCTCGAAGAGGCACCACCACCTGTCCCACTGTGTGAACAAGGGAAGTATCTGTCAACATAACACCCCATAGCCCCATTTCTCAGTACATACACCCTCCTCATTACCTGCCCCCCTAAATGACCCTAAGAGCCCTGGTTACTAAGGCAACCTGGGAACAGCACATGAAGACAGAGACTAGAAACAGATGGGGCTATTTTTAAACTAGACTAGGTGGCTCCATTTCTTTTATCCCACAAAGTGCCTTCCCAGACCAAAGTCCCATCTGGACATCTCACATCCCTGCCCTTTGTCGCTGGCATCCACCCAACTTACACAAGCCACATGAGGGCAGGTCTTTACCTTAGTTTTGGCATTAAATCTACTTTATGCACCCATCTTCCCCAACAATCATCTAAGCAATTTTCTCTTTCTTTGTTAAAAAATAATGTTCTTTTATTTCTTTGGAAAGTAGTGGGCACTGCCCTACAGATTTCCAGGCCAAGCTTGGTAAATGAATGTTCCCCAGTCTTTGGGTTGGAGTATTATGGTCCCAGCCTTCCCAGGGACCCAGGAGCATTCTGGGCCCCAAATCATCTGAAGGCGAGTGTGAGGCCTTCTCTCCTGAACACTCACTCTCCCGATCTTTCCTGGCTTTCCCTCTGAGTGGGGAATTTTCCTCTCCCACACCAGTGCTGGAACCTGTGATGTTCACGAGTGAGGACAAGACCAGGGACATCTCCAGCTTCCCATGAGTGAACACAGTCCCTCAGTCCCTTCTTTCTGCTGGCTTCAGTCTCGCCTCCTATGCAAGCCTCTGTCTAGGAGACCTGCAGGACAAGAGAACCTCAAGCACAGCCCTGTCTCAGGAGCTGCTCCTGCAGAACTTCCCTTGTGGTCTCTGGTCCTCGTTTTTGAGTGCCCTGCAGACAAAAGGGCTGGGCAAGTGGGGAGGGGCCATGACCCTAGCCCCAGACGCTGTGACAGGGAGCAGTGTCCATTAGTCCTGTCAGTGCGGCATGGCTGTGATGCGCATGCTCTGGGAAGCAATGGGGTAAGTCACCATCGGAGTAGTAGTGTGGCTCATGGTGATTCCTGCCAAGGGCTGCGCCATGGACACAGCCACAGGAGCCACAGGTGCCACAGACACAGCTACAGGGGCCATGGAAACAGGCGGGGGTGCCATCCCCTGGGCGATGGTTTGAGCCAAAGCGGCTGACAGTGGCGTGATCTCTGGGTTCAAGTGTGGAGGTGGGGGTGGTGGAGCAGCAGGAGGTGCAGCATTAGTTGGGGGAGCAGCTGGAGCTCCAGCAGGGGCCACAAGTTCTTGCTGGGACACAGGGCGAGGCTGCAGAGCCTGGCTGCTCAGCGTAGTGTGGGTCTGGGCGATGCCGTGGTTAAAAGTGGCCACGGTGCCCACCGTGGGGGCCAGCGTCTGCTCAGTCGCCGGTGCAGTGGAGCTCAGGGTCATGACCTTGGCCTGATTTCGGAACTGGGCATTTTGTTCCAGAAGTACCTCATTGGTGGCCAGCAGGTTGCTGACCTGTTTCTTCAGCTCCTCCACTCGTTTCCTGAGCATGGCATTCTCCTCCTCTAGTAGTCTGCATTCTACTCCACGGGACGGAGTCAAATTATATTCATAGGACTCAAAATGGGGGCCATCAGGAGGGCAGCATCCACCTCTCCGGCGCTTAGGGCCTGGCTCGTGGTCCTCAAAGCCCCTTTCAGGAAGGTCGTAGATATCATAGAGATCATGGCGTCGCCCCGAGGGAATGGAGCCTGTTGAGCCTCCACCTCCAGTACCCCCTCCACCTCGAGCATCAAATTCAAAATCCCTTTGCAGGTGACGGAACTTGCACTTGGTGCCTCTCTGACAGTCACCTTTGAGGAAGTCACGGCAGATAGGGACCTCCTCCTTCCCATTGGGCAGGTCAGCAGGGGAGAGACCCAGCCCAGCCGCCACTTTCTGCCTCAGCCGAGGAGGTAGCTCTCCTGTCTTCTTGTAGCCGTCCTCATCCTCCTTGGAGCCGTGGATGAAGCGGCAGTTTGGGCGGCTGCACTCCTTGTTTTGAAAGTCATGGCAGAAAATAAATTCATTCTTGCTCACCCCCAAGTTGGACACCTCGCTCATGTCTGGGTGGCGGTACCGACAGCGCTTGCCCCGCTTGCACACATTCCTCAGGAAGTCTCTACAGATGGCATCTGAGGTGGCCCCCCCACTGCCTGTCCCTGCCCCGCTGGCCTCCTCATTGCCACCACCTCCAGGGACTCCACCGCTGTTCCCAGTGCCGTTGGCATAGTTGTCCCGGTCAGGCATCCTGGTCCCCCCCAACTCAGGATTTTCTTCCTTTTCTTGCCACTCTTGGGGACTGTTAAGAAAGAGAACCGTGTCAAACAGGGGCCCTCCAGCGAGCTGCCACTCTCCCTGACTCTACAGTGGGCAGTCCTCTGGGGCAGTGGCTCCGCAGAGGAGAATCTAAGGGAGAACTCTAGCTGGCCAGGCTGCCTTGCCAGAAGCCCCGCCCAGGCCCTTGTGCACCTGGTCTTGGTTGGAGTGATTCACACTTGCCTGGCTAACGGAGGAGGGAAGAGAGCTGAGTGAAACCGCTCTGACAATTGATGATGAGCCAAGAAGGGGGCAGGGAGAGCCTAGCGTCATATTTTACCTTCCCTTCTTACTGTGAGAGAGAAATGTGAACAGACAGACTGGAGACACCGCTCTAAGACAGGCTATTTCGCTTAAGAAGTTGTGGGTGAAGGGGCACCAGTGACAACACATCCCTGATCCCCTCTTCAATGGGACGTCAGCTGATGTCTCTATGTGTTTTAGACATCTGGGGTGACCCTTCAGGTGACTGGTGTCACCGGCTGCAGGGCAGTCCTCGAAGCTTGTTAATGTCCAGCCTGCTCACACACAGACCCCTCCACTTCAGGGAAAGAAGACCTCAGTTCAGATCTCTACCTCGAGGACCCCAGGACAAAACTGGAGTACGGTCAAGGTGGGAAGGGGTTAATTTCATGGGAATGGTGACCTTTCCCCATTCTCCACCCCGCCTCCATGAAAAGATGCCACTATCAAACCACAGCACTCCCTACCCCATAAAAATCCTCTTTATTTATAGACTCTATAAAATCTTTTTAAGTCTCCTGTTTCCCAGGAGAGCTTTGGAATGTCAGTCCACTGCCCTAATTCTAGCCCCCCTTCTCTCTATCCCCCTCAGAAGACTGGAGTCCCTGCAACCACGTGTCTGATCGCCTAAAGGTTTCCTAAGCAGTATTCAGGCTCCCCCTGCTGACCAAATAGGAGTCCATACATTTTGCGTTGAGCATAAGGATACGTTTCTCGATTTCCCCATTCACACAGCCTTTAGATTTCCCTAAAATGACTAACCAGACCAGAGGCCAGAAATACCCAAGAATCTGCACAGTGAAGGAGAGTTACCCCAGAAGAAAACAAAGAAGTTCTAAAGAGAGACAAACCCTAAACGACCAGGTGAGGAATAAATGTCCTCAAAGCCTGACCTGCGTTTCAGGTCGCACCAGAAGCAGATAATAGAAAAGGACGATACTTTTCCTCACCCAATTATCCCAGAATCAATACCTGAGGTAGCTCAGGTGAAGTCCGGGGCTCCTGCGAGTCTCCACTCCCACATCACTGCTGGGTTCTGAACAAGAAAATAAACAAAAACAAAAGCAAAAAAAAAAGAGAGAGAGAGAGAGATTTGAGTGGAAGAGGGGAAAAGCGTGAAGGGCTATGGAGTGGTTTTCATAAACTGGAATGAATTTTGACAAAACGTTAAGAGCTTTGCGGCTTTTCAGGATACTCTTACAAGTTCAAACTGAACGTCACCTCCGAAGGGAAAAGGATAAAGGTTAGAGCCTACCAATAAAGTCTGGGAGGCTCGGCTGAAAAAAAAAAAACAGTTCTCGGTGAAGGATGAAGGGAGCTTTACCTCATGATGAGAAGGATATGGGGGTCAGAGTCCGGTCTAGGGTTGGAGTTCGGGGCGCCGAACCTGAAGGCTGGACAAGGGCAACAACTGACAGTATTGGGAAAGCGAGATTAGCCTCGGGGGCGGTGATTAAAACGGTCCCCAGCACCCTAGAGTTCCCGGGAAGTCTTCGGGCTCGGCAGGCCCCGTCAAGTGGCGCCAGCACTCAGCGTGGACCAGGTGACTAGGACACTGAGGAAGCGCACAGTGAGCGGGGAGGGGGTGACATCAGGCTGAGGGGATGGGCAGGGCTGTGACGTCACGGAGCTGGCGTTTGCTCGGGAAGCGGGGTCAGTCAGAAAAGGGGTTCTGCTCTGGGTAGCCGGGACGAGCCAGCTCGGTTCGGGGGGAGGGGGGCTCGTGTGGCCCGGCAGAGCCCGGCCGCTGGGCCGGCCCCGACTCCTCCCCTCCGGGCGCGGCCTCCACCTAAGTCTCCCGCCTCCCTCACCTGCCGCCGCCGCCGTAGTTGCTGCTGCCGCCTGCCGGTCCTCTAGCTTCGACAAAGAGCCGCCCACCCTACGGTTCTTCCGCTTCCTGCGGAAGCAGGGGCGCTCTAGCCACCAGACCCGGAACCACACTCTATGGTCTCTTTTGCGCGCTACGAGCCGCAGGAAGCTCCCAGCAAGCCTTGCGTGTCACCATGGCAACACAGCCCCGCCGGAAGATAAGTAGCAGCCGTACCTGCCCATAAAACGCAGGACACGGTGGCGAACGCTCGCGCTGCCTTGCATGGCCTCAGGCGCACACGCTAGAGCCAACCTCTGCTTCCAGCCCGGTCACAAACACCCAGGCTGTCGCCTGCGCAGGTTCTGGACACGCCACAGTACAGACCAAGCTACACTGAAAACTTCCCACCCAATGGAGCCGCAAAAAACACGTAACAGCAATTGCGTTCTTCAGCTGACAGCGACAAAGATGGTTTATTGTACACGGGTTACAATTGGCCACAAGTGAAGACAGAACTAGTCCAGAACGCCACAGGTCCAGGGCAAAGGGCCAGCGGGGCTGTTGTCATGACGGCAGGGCGTCGGTCTCTCGGTGGTCTCCGCGAGCGGGTGGCGAGGTCGCGGGTCCGGAGAAGTCCTCCGGCTGCAGCTCAGTCCAGCTTGTCCCTGCGTCCCGGCCTCCAGCGTCCCTTACTGCTGCTCATGCGGCCTTCGCGGGTACGCAGGCGAGTTTACTTGGACCTCTGCCTCATCTTTCTTCTCTTGCGCTTCAGTCTGCAATGCAAAGCACACCAAACAGCCGTAAACCCGTCTGCACTGCATATCAGGGCTGACAGAACACACGAGCAATCGTTCCGATTGTACTGGGCTCAGAAACGCGTGGATCCCTCACGCCGACACTGACACTTTCAGTTTAAACTTGTAGGTTTAACGAAACCCCGAAGCTTAGCCCCACCGCCCTTCTCCGCGGTCCATCAACATACCTGCGCATTCTCTTCTTCCTCCACTAGAAACCCGATCACGTGAGGGGGAGAAAAAAGGACGTTAGCAATAGTACTCAGAAAAACAGGCTAAAGAATTAGTAGCAATACCGGTTGCAGATCAATTTGGGACCCGAACCCCGCGGTTCCCCAGCCCACTTCCCTCCGCCAAGGGCTAGGGCGGCTCTAGTCGGCCTCCCCAACAGTCTCCGGAGCACCTTTGAAAGCCCGGAGAGGGCCGATGGCGGGCGGACTCACTGCCTGGATCCGCCTGCCCCCAAGCTTAACACTTCAGGAACGCTCACCTTCGCTCTCATGGCGCAGGGGTGTCTACGGCAAAAGAGAAAAAAGTTACGGTTAATTTGCTGCGATGATGGTACGTGCTGAAGTCAGATGCTAACGGATTGTACTCGAAACCCGAAGACCGGCTACAACGAGACTCACCAAGGAAGATGGCGCTAAGGCCGAGAGAGCGGGGAAGCCGGGCTACTGCTTTTTAATGGCGTGTTCCGTGTCGTCACTTCCGGTGCCACGCCTCCTGATCCCCGAGGGGCGGTGCTGCTCAGACGTGTAACAGTGACTTCCGGCTGCCTCACCGAGGGAAACAAATATTTTGACTGCGAGTTATCAAGCCCCACCTTCTCTAAGATTTATTTTAAGGACATTGTATTATTTCAGCACGAGCGTCTGTTTCGAGTATGGGACAGAAAAAAAAATTACATGGGGAAAAAAAATAACTTCCGTCTTCTCCCTCGTTGCTTCTTGGGAGTTGCAGTTTCTTGGTAAATACCTCCATTTTATTATGAATAGGTGTGGCTTGTAAAAAGAATTACTGGCTTTGAGCACGGCGGTGGTGATGCACACCTTTAATCCCAGCTCTTGGGAGGCAGAGGCAGGCGGATTTCAGTGAGTTAGCGGACAAACTGATCTACACAGTTTCAGGACAGCCAGAACTCTTACACAGAGAAACCCTGTCTCGGAAAAACAAAGAATTACTGGTTTTGGCCTGGCAAGTTAGTGCACACCTTTATTACCAACTCTTGGGACCCTTGGGAGACAAGAGGCAAGCAGATTTCTGTGTGTTAAAGACAAGCCTGGTCTATATAATGAGGTCTTGCCTAAAGCAAACAAATGCATAAATAAATAATTTCTAGTTTCGTTTTGGTTTGACGCCCACAGATCCCCTCCCCCTCCCCTAGTTAAACTACTTTGGAAATAGTTGATCTCTGAGTTTCTAAAGATTTAAGATTTTAGAATCATCTGAGCAGAGGTAGCACAAACCTTTAATCCCAGCACTCTGGAGGCTGAGAAAGACTGATCTCTGAGTTCAAGGCCAGCCTGTTTCTACAGTGAGCTCCAGGACGTCCACGACTGTTACACAGAGAAATCCTATACGGAAAACCAAAACAAACAACTTAGACATGGGAGAACAGAACCTGGCAAGCTGAGAAAGCTGTCAACTGAAGGCACAGCCATAGTGCTGCACTTATAAGCATTAGACCTAAGAATTTTTCCAGTCTATACTGAAAGTAGGGTTGGGTTTTTTGTTTTGTTTTGTTGTTGTTTGGTTGGGGTTTTTTGTTTGTTTGTTTGTTTGTTTTTTGGATTTTCGAGACAAGGTTTCTCTGTAGCTTTGGTGTCTGTCCTGGAACTAGCTCTTGTAGACCAGGCTGGCCTCGAACTCCCAGAGATCCGCCTGCCTCTGCCTCCCAAGTGCTGGGATTAAAGGCTTGCGCCACCACCGCCCGGCTTGGTTGGTTTTTTTAAGACAAGGTTTCTCTGTGTAGCTTTGGAGCCTGTTGTTCTGGAACTCACTCTGTAGACCTGGCTGGCCTTGAATTCACAGAGATCCTCCTACCTCTACCTGCTGAGTGCTGGGATTAAAGGCGTGGGCCACCACTGCCTGACTAGTAGTCCCTATTTTATTTGGCTACCAGGATATGGTGGCACACAACTTAATTCCAGGAGACAATGACAAGGATATGAGTTTGAAGCTAGTCTAAGCTAGCCTACTCTGCCCAATGAGTTCCAGGCTCACAGAAGGGTGCAGAGGCAGGCAGATCTCATGAGTTCAAGGCCAGCCTGGTCTACAAAGAGTTTCAAGACAACCAGCGCTACATTGAGAAATGCTGTCTGAAGGAACCAAAAAAAAAAAAAGAAACTACGGAAAAGCAGGCATAATAGATAATAGCACACATCTGTCTGTAATCTTAGCACTTAGAAGGCTGAAGCAGGATCATAAACTTGGTAGCTTGTGATACATAAGGAGTTCAAGGCCCGTCTACATTAAAAACTCATAAACGTAGGTATAGAAACTTCGTCTTGGTAAAATAATTTAGATTTTTGTTTTGAGACAGGGTCTCACTATGTGTCTTGGCCAGCCAGGATCCATAGATGACAATAGCCCACTCAGAGAATGGGATTAAATCTCAAGAACTGGGATTAAATGGTGTGTAAAACATCTCTGGCTCAATATTTAAGAGACTTATTTGTATGTTGATTATAATCCTTCCTTTCCAGTGGCTTCCTTAACACTTCCTTGTCGTAGCCACGTAAGGTGGTGTATGAACTGGCACTTGGTGGGTCTCTGAGAGTTTGAGGACTTCATAGAGACCCAAACAAAACAAGTCAGGAGCAAACTGCTGGGGCTGAGCCATTCCCATTTTTAGCCCTACAATTTTCCTTTTTCAGACACCATTTGACAGATAGGCCAGGCCTTCACTGTCCTGGAATCAAGAGATCCACCTGTATCCAGTGTGCTGGGTTAATGGTAGGCACCACAACCCAGTTTAACCCTTCAAATTTTGAGTTGGATTCTTGTTAAACAAATGCTACCAACTGAGCTACAACTGCAGCTTGAGCTAAAGCTCAAAAATCCAAATAAAAACCTAATAGAATGACTTTATAGCCTGAGCTGGTGTCTCAAAATAAAAGAGCATTTTACAAATCTGAATTACCAGTTTATATGAACTCGGAGGGAACCCGGCTCATGTTTGGTGGTTTTAGGTTTGCAGAATTAAGGAAGACCTCTGCACACTATTCTCGGTTCCCATATGGTCTCTCAGCATGCCCATCAACAGCCAATAGGGTGAGAAAAACATAACTCAGGAAAAGCAAAGATAGCCTACTGTGTATGTAACAGTGTGTACCTCCATCCTGCAGCTTCTGCTCACCCAACTACTCACAGTTCAGCAGTGAATATAGTAACCTTATAGTAACCTTACTCAAGACCATCACAGCTTGGCACTGAAAACCTCAGCACTAAGGAACTAAGGCAAACTTGCCATGTTGCCCTTGTTAGTACATAGTAAGTGCCCCAGTTCTAATATAACAATTCTTGCATAAATTACCAAAATTCTACACTAAGTAGTTGAGATTCCAAAACCAGGTATACACACCTTTAAACCCAGCACTCCTAAGGCAGAGGCAGGTGGATCTGTGAGCTCAAGGTTCCAGGACTGGCTCCAGAGCTACTGAGAAACCCTGTCTCAAACAAAAAGTAGCTCAGCTGGACAGTGGTGCTGCCCTCAGTTAGTCCCACCAGGATATAGAAGCAGGGAGGTCTGAGTTCAAGCCAGCCTGATCTGCAGTTTTCCAGGAACAGCCAGGGCTACACAGAGAAATTACCCCATCTCCACCACAAAGACAAAAAGAACAAATGCATATTATGAGCAAATCCAAATTTATTTTAAATGCCGTGTCATTTCAAAAACCTCTTAAGTTAGTGGGAGCCTTGGTTCCCTGGGACAGCATGCCAGAGGTACAAACTGTAACCTTTCTCTACAACCCCCAGCGAGTCATCCAAGTCCACAGCTTCTGAAAGTCAGTTCTCTTCAGTCTACTCCTCTGGTTCCTGGCTTTTCTTTCATGGGAGGGAACTCAAAATATTTCAGACAGGAAGCTGGGCGTGGTGGCGCACACCTTTGGTTCCAGCACTCATGAAGCAAAGGCAGGCGGATCTCTTTGAGTTTGAGGCCAGCCTGGTCTACATAGTTGAGTTCCAGGACAACCAGAGCTACATGGTGAGAACCTGTCTCAAACCAAAAAGACAAAAGAAAAAAAAAAAAAAGATCAAATAGGCAACAACAAAAAAACCCAGTGGGATTTTCAATGTAGGTTCAACGATGGAGCATGAGGAAAAACCCACTGGTCCCAGAGAGGGGGGCAAAACCAGCAACAACAAAAGACATGGGTGGGGATGATTGCTGCTGCTCAACTGTGAAGATGGATGGATGTAGGACTCTGCAGAACAAAAATGTCTACAAAAGTTTACAAACGAGAATCCATTTGATAGATGGTAGTTATCTTCTTAATGGAGACATCAGCATCTACCATCGGAAGGCCCTAACCAGATACCCTACATCACGAGGAATCTGCCACAGGTGAATAAAAAATACAACTGGTCCTCCTCCTTGATGGCAGATTAAATTCTCGGTGACAGTGGGAAACAGATAAGCCCCCAAAGGAACGAGAAAATGACATTGGTGACGTAAAAATTTCGGCAGAGGTTCTAGTGGTGGTGGCAATTTAGCCTCCTTTGTTCTGATGTAGGCTCTCAAACCTTGACCAAGCAGAGTAGAAAAGGCCAGAAAGAGGGGCTTGAAGACGGTGCATTTTGACTCCTGATTTTATTATCAATTTCTTTTTCTACTGAAAGTAGTCTTCAGTGGCTGGGAAGCCTGGCCTCCCAAGACCAGAGTCAGTTGGAGCTGGTTTTTTGTTGGAAAGAGTGGGTGGGTGAATGGCGGGGGTCTGGGATGAGGGCAGAAGACCCCGCTCTGCTGGCGGTCTTGGGTGGCAAAGACGAACTGCACTTCAGAGCCTGGGGTGCGGTGGGAAGGGGTGAGGCAGGAATGACAAGCTGGGGATACGGGACCCACCTCAGTCCCCAGCTTCATTCTCTTCTAATGTCTCTCCACTGGTTGCATTCTCTGCAGTCTTGGAGGCCTACATTCCAAAACAAAAGACATCAATCCCTAACTCCTTTGGCACCAACTCCAAGCAGAGAAGGGTGAGCTCCACCCCACCATTATCAGAAGACTTCCCACCAGAAGATCACACACACCTTCTTTTTCTTCTTTTTCTGTGTTTTTCTACTTGCAGAACTCTGGAGGAGAGCCTGGAAGACAGGAAGAAGACAACTCTGAGAAATGTGGGCTAAGCAACTTCACAGGTAAGTGCCCCATGGTCACCATTTTCCATCCCACACTGACCTTTAGCTCTGCATCCTGGACTTCCATCTCCGACTTGTAGAGGTCAGGCTCGAAGGGACCACTGGTTATCCGCATGGGACCATTGGGCATGAGGAGGACTGTAAATTTAAACTGGGCAACATATTCACCTGTGGGGAAACAGCAAGTTCCAGTCCCACTTAGCTTTCTGAAGTTAAGGGAGGGAAGCACGTAACTGGGGTCTAAAGTGAAGGCCTCCTTAGGACTCACCCTCCTTCTCATAGAGAACATTAAATGGCTGCAGTAATTCATGCTTGGCACATTCTACCACACCCATCCGAGCCTTCTTCTCATCT